AAATGACGGGAAGATGATTATGTGAATTGTGAAACATCCAGGCAAGATATTATGATGCAATCAACAAAAGTATAACTAACACTATGTGGCAACAGAGAACAACATGTCTTACAATCTCAAGTTTTAAAAGAATATACGATTATAGTAAGTAAAAAATATATACACAAAGTGCCAGAAAGGAATGCACAAAATAACACCAGTAATGCTAGGTGAGTAGCTGTAAACATGAATCTCTTCTGATGTATAATTGATAAAATAAATAGCACCCTGAGCTTCCTCAAATATAAACCAAATGTCATAATTATTTAGAAAAATCTAGCTCTTCCTATGATTTCATTTTAACTCAGCCTGTTAGGTATGGGGCCAAGTGAGTCAGAAAAGATTGAAAGTTGAGCCTTTTCAAATTTGAAGAAGGATTTCTTTCCACCAAAGCAGTAAGATTGCTCTTTTTTTCTACCCTCGTTTTGTTTTAGTTTCTCTGAGTTAAATGCTAATTTTTATTATTGATCTTTTTAAATGCTGCTTCCCATGAAAACTTTAGATCTTTAGCTAACTATTTTCCAATTAACCCTCTTATCCTGGCTGCATCAAGCTGGTCCTTCTCTCTCACCACTGCAGGCTCAGAAAATCATTGCATGTTAGCTGGGCATGAAGGCCTGAACCTGTAGTCTCAGTTACTGGGAAGGCTGAGGTGGGGGGGATCACTTGAGCCCAGGGTTTTCAGGCTATATAGCTCAAGATGATTGTGCCTCTGAAAAATCACTGAACTCCAGCCTGGGCAATATAGCAAGACCTTATCTCTTAAAAGTTAACTGATTAATTAAAATTAAGAGAAAATTATTGCATGTCAGAACTGTAAAGGACGCAGCAGGGCACGATGGCTCATGCATGTAATCCCAGCACTTTGGGAGGCCAAGGCGGGTAGATCATCTGAGCTTAGGAGTTTGAGACCAGCCTGGGCAACATGATAAAACTCTGTCTCTACTAAAAATACAAAAATTAGCCAGGCGTGGTGGTGGGTGCCTGTAATCCTAGCTACTCAGGAGGCTAAGGCAGGAAAATTGGAGAATCGCTTGAACCCAAGAGGTGAAGGTTGCAGTGAGCCAAGATCAGACCACTGCACTCCAGCCTAGGTGGCAGAGTAAGACTCTGTCTCCATAAAAAAAAGAAATCAGTATATCAAAGAGCTATCTGTACTCACATACTCACAAGGGTACTGCAGCATTATTCAC